TCCTTACACTCAAGAGTTCTTAGTCCCAAAGTCCTTACACCCAAGAGTTCTTAGTCCCAAGAGTCCTTACACTCAAGAGTTCTTAGTCCCAAAGTCCTTACACCCAAGAGTTCTTAGTCCCACGAGTCCTTACACTCAAGAGTTCTTAGTCCCAAGAGTCCTTACACCCAAGAGTTCTTAGTCCCAAGAGTCCTTATACCCAAGAGTTCTTAGTCCCAAGAGTCCTTACACCCAAGAGTTCTTAGTCCCAAGAGTCCTTACACCCAAGAGTTCTTAGTGCCAAGTACTTACACCTAGGAAACATTACACTGTTGAGTTCTTTCCCCTAAAACGCTTACCATAAAGAGTCTTTACCACAAAGTGTTCTTGCCTACAAGATATCTTTCATCTGTTTGTTTGTTTTTTTACCCCCAGAAGGTTCCTAACCCTCAAGAGTTCTTAAGAATCCTTGCTCAAAAAAATCCTCGTCCGCTCCCCAAGAGTCCTTAAACCCCCAAGAGTCTTTTCTTCCAAGAGTCCTAACCCCAAGAGTCTTTTCTTCCAGGAGTCCTAACCCCAAGAGTCTTTTCTTCCAAGAGTCCTAACCCCATGAGTCTTTTCTTCCAGGAGTCCTAACCCCAAGAGTCTTTTCTTCCAAGAGTCCTAACCCCAAGAGTCTTTTCTTCCAAGAGTCCTAACCCCAAGAGTCTTTTCTTCCAGGAGTCCTAACCCCAAGAGTCTTTTCTTCCAAGAGTCCTAACCCCAAGAGTCTTTTCTTCCAAGAGTCCTAACCTCAAGAGTCTTTTCTTCCAGGAGTCCTAACCCCAAGAGTCTTTTCTTCCAAGAGTCCTAACCCCAAGAGTCTTTTCTTCCAGGAGTCCTAACCCCAAGAGTCTTTTCTTCCAAGAGTCCTAACCCCAAGAGTCCATACCCCCTCTCCCAAAATCCTCACCACAACCCCCAACCCTCCCCCCCCACCTCCAAAGAGTCCTTCTCGGAACTGCCAGGAATTCCCATCGACGGACTTCGGGCGAGTCCCCCCCCCCCCTTCCTCCACACTCGCCCCGGCAACAGAGGTCACGGACGTAGGGCGGGGAAACCTGATGGAAGTGATACGGACCACGAAAGACGAATGAGGAAAAGAATCACGTTATTTCTATTATCAAAGATGATTTTTTTTTTCTATTTATTTATTTTTTTCTATTTATTGATATTCATTTTATTAATCTTTTTATTTTTTTGTTTTATTTTTATTTTTTTCTTCTCTTTTGTTCTCGATATCTTTTTTTTTTTTTTTTTTTTTTTTTGTCTTATGATCTTGGTTTGTTGTTGATGTTGTTGCTTTTCTTTTGTTTGTTTAGATAATGTCATTCGAAAATCTGATCATTGTAGGGTAGAAATCTAAATATTGCTCTATTTACGTTATCCCATTTAAAATTGCAAACTATATCATTTAGTTTTTCAAACCAATGTTGTTGATGACGACGATGACGATGATGATGATGATAATGGTAATGATAATGATAATGATGATGGTGATGGTGATGGTGGTAATGGTGGCAGCGGCAGCGAAAGTGACCGTGATAGTGATAATAATAGTGATAGTGACAGTGATAGCGATAGTTATAGCAATAACAATAGCGACAACAATAATAATAATATTAGTAATAATAATATTAGTGATAATTATTACAACAACAACAATAGCTATAGAAACAATAATGATAATAATGATAATAATAATAATAATAATAATGGTTGGAATGACAATAATAATAATGATAATAATATCAATACTAATATTAATAATAATATTAATCATAATAAGAAAAAAAGAAATATAAGAATAACCGTAAGAATAATAATAAGAATAATGATGATAACAATATTAGTAACAATAAGAATATTCACAAGAATAATCTTAACAATATTAATAACAATACTGATAGTAATAACAATAACAACAACAACAATAATCATAAAAATAATAATAATAATAATAATAATCTCATTAACAAAGATAATGATAATAACAATAATAATAATAATAATAATAATGTTAATAATAAGAAAAGAAGAAGAAGAAAAAGACGACGAAGAAGAAGGAGAAACAATAATAGTAATAATAATAATATAATCAGGGACCACTAACACTTTCTTGCACCTCAGATCAGAATCCTCTTCACTTTAAAGACATGTTAACATATCCTTGTGCAGATAAACTGAACACAGACACAGAGTATCCTTGATAACGTGTTTTATGCCGTATGTTATCTTGCAGGTTGACAGAGAGAATAACATTCGCAACATTTCATTTAATTTTTTTCTTGTATTTTCTTCACGAATTTACATGATAAAGTGTCATCTGAATATGGTAATAAGATGACTTTGATATCATAACCGTGAATCTCTGATATTTAAATATTCGTTGTTAAAATCGTGAACATAGAAGAATTCCTGAGATTTGCTGAAAAAGGCTGTGTAATGATAATCTAAAACGATATTTTTAACTATTGTTCGATTAATTAATTGGTGTTTAGACTTGTTCGATATAGGACTGCATTTTTTTTATCCAGTGGGATGTTTGCTTGTCATAAAATAGTTTTAAAATGTTCATAAGAGTGGTATGTATGCTTTCTACAGGCCATTGATAGATTTATGTGTTGTGCACCCTGCTCCAAAATACAAGTGAATTACATTTGAAAATCACTTATTCTCTTAATTTCCCAAACTATTATCGTCTAGAAATATTGCAAATTATTTGGCAGATTAGCTCATCAACAGGGAAGATTTAAGTACAATAATGTGAACTGTTACATTGTCTTTCTAGGTCCTCTCCTGTTACTTAAAGCAATGGGAAAAAACTAGTAAGTAGATTATATATGAAGAACTTAGTTTCAAATGGTATCATTAGTCTTTTTTTTTTTTTTGCTTGTTTGTTTTTTGTTGTTTTGTTTTTTGTTGTTGTTGTTTTTGTCCCTTTCGATTCTGTGTCCAGAAAGGCAAATGTCAGAATTTTCAGGCACTGTATATGGACTCAAAATAAAAGTTGCCACCATCAGCTAATGCATTACACTTCCCTCATTGTTTATTTTCCCTCGCCTTCTACAACTTTTCATAACTCTAGGGCCCTTACCATGGTCCAGTCCGAACCTTTCCTTTATTTTTCCATATTCTACTCGAAAGACACATCCGTTTTATTAAAAACGAAAAAAAAAGTTCTTCAATCAGTGGTGTTTCCCAATGCCAGTTATAGATCAGAGTGTTGGGTAATGAAGAAAAATGAAAACTTTTTGGAATTGTGGAGCTATAGACGGTCACTTCGTGTTAGATGGACAGATTGCAGGCCAAATAGTTGGGTGTTAGATACTTAGATATCAAAGAATTGACAAGAATGAGCATGATCCATTTAATTAGAAAGACACAAGACCGTTTCTTTTGGAGGAAATTTGCATGGGATGCCACGGCTGATCAACCCAATGGTCATTCCGTTTTATGATGATGATCCTTACAACAGTTCACTTGTATCATTTAATCAAGTTTTATGTAAATATTCAAGCTTATATAAATATCTCTCCGTATTTATCTCTCTCTCTCTTTCTCTATCTATCTATTGCTCTCTCTCACTCTTTCTCTCTCTCTCTCTTCCCCTATCTCTCTTTCTCTCCTCCCCCCCCCCCCTCTCTCTCTCTCTCTCTTTCTCTCTCTTTCTCTCTCTCTCTCTTTCTCTCTCTTTCTCTCTCTCTCTCTCTGTCTCTCTCTCTCTCTCTCTCTTTCTCTCTATCAAGTATTGAAAATATTTATCTAATGAATTTCGAATTATCGGTGATTATCTAAATCTACTGCATATTATATTTGAACCCAGCGCTACTTCTTCCTTTCAAAACACCACTCCTGTCATTTTATGTAAAGTGGGACCATTAACCAAATAAAAAAAAACGTCGAAGGCAAAACAAAGAAAAAAAAAGAATATATACAGATGGAGACATTAACATACATATACAGGGCGGTAAGTAGAAAAATAGATAGATAGGCAGATAGACAGGCAAAAACGATATATGTAAATGTATACGTATATATGTGTGTGTGTGTGTGTGAATGTGTGTGTGTGTGTGTGTGTGTACGTGGTGTGTGCAGATACACAGATACACATATATATATATATTTTTTTTTTGTCTCTTTTCATAGTGAAATAACTACCTTTGTAATTACGTCAGCCTTTAATATGTATATCTTCTTTCGTTTTATGTTAAATGAGGATAATTTATTGACCATAAAATACAAAACTTCAAGTCTTCTTTTGACAGTAAAACCAGTTTGCCGATAGAAATTAAAATATAACAATATGCGTGTGTGTGTGTGTGTGTGTGTGTGTGTGTGTATGTGTGTGTGTGTGTGCGTGTGTTTGTGTTTATGTGTGTGTGTGTTTGTGTATGTGTTTACGTATGTGTAAGCGTAAGATTGTATGTGTGTTTAGATTCCCCATCCCATTAAAGAAAAAAAAATCATAATCAACCCATCTTTTCCTTGCGAATTCTGGAAACTTTGAGCACTGAACAAGAAACCAACAGCTTCAATATTTTCCGTACTGCATTGAGTTGACAGACTTATATACGAGAACTGCGTCGATTAATATGAAAAAAAAACAAGAACAAAGCAAAACAAAGACACAAGCTCGTGTTCAAGGTCCTCACGACTGAACATTTCTCGAAGGTTCTCGGTTTTCCCGTCGGGGGTGAAATATTTAGCTTAATGTTGTGTTCCTTTTCCTTCCTTGCGTCAATAAAAGCGAAAGTATTTCTGCAAAGAAGCGTTCAGTAAAAAAAAAAAAAAAAAAAAAAAAAAAAAGATTTGTAAAGCGTTCAATAGATAAGACTATATGTGAAAACAGAACTTTTAGTATTTCGTGTCCCATTTCATGATTTCATTCAAATAATGGTATCTGGCAACCGCTACGCCCCAAAGAGATAAGCAAGTATAAAAACTCAAGCGAACATCACTCCTCATCAGGTGTTCTTTCT